GGCGAACATGAATATGTTGCGCGTGTGGGGCGGAGGGGTATACGAGTCGGACCTGTTTTACGAGTTGGCCGACGAGTTGGGTATAATGGTTTGGCAGGACTTGATGTTCGCCTGCGCTCCCTATCCCATCGATCCTGAGTTCTTGCTGTCGGTGGACGTGGAGGTCGAGCAACAGGTGCGCCGACTGCAGCACCACCCGTCCATTGCTATTTGGGCCGGTATTGTATTTTTATTTAACTAAGTTTTGTTATTTTTAATATTAAATTAATATTACATTAGTTCAATAGTTATCTAGTTACATAATGGTTATTATATTTGGAGTATGATAGTTAAGCTAAAAACTGATTAATTTAGCAATCAATTTGTTCATGACATAATTTGTTAGCAATCAACCATTCACAATTATCAATCATTTTAAAGGGTTACACATAAAAACATGAAAAGTCACTTAAACTTTAAACATTAAAACTAAAAATGTTAATTTTGATTACCTTTCTCTGTTTAAGGCAATAACGAAATCGAGCTGTTACTGACCTACTTTTTTAAAGATCAGAGACTTAAAGACGATTATTACGAGCTGTTTGTCAAGCATATTATGACTCGAGTGGACAGGGAGGACAGCACCCGACCCTTTGTTACGTCGAGTCCGTCCAACGGATTAAAAGATGAAGCCTTTAACTACTCGTCTCCCCAGCCGATGGACCCCCGATGGGGTGATATTCATTGGTACGACTACGGGTCCTCATTGTGGGACTGGAAGGTCTATAAGAGCGCGAAGTTTGTCTCCGAATACGGCTTCCTATCGTATCCGTCGTTGGAGTCCTTATCCGAAGCACTTCCGGACAGTGATCTCACGTATCCGGTGGGACCGGGTGTTAGGCACCGGAACCGATTGAGACTCGGAATGAATGGGACGACAATTATTCAAGATTCGATAGGTATGAATGTGATAGCTAGGCAAATTTATTAACTATACCATGCTACTTATTTTGAATATTACAAAACTGTTTATCATTTATAAATTAGCCAAATATTTCAAACTCCCGGCGCACGGAGGGGTCGACAGAATCAATGATTTAATATATTTGTCGCAAATATTTCAAGCGATGGCTATTAAGACGGAAACAGAGTTTTATCGTCGAAATAGAGAAGTGGATCCCAAGACTGGAGAGGGCTATACGATGGGTGCCCTGTACTGGCAACTCAATGACATATGGCAAGCGCCTACCTGGGCGTCCATAGAGTATGGCGGTAAATGGAAAG